CCTAAATCACTCGTACGCACAATTCAAGAACAAATCTGTGCGTACGAACGGTTCTTGCATGAGGCCCAATGAGAGTGCAGCACGGAACTTCTAGGAAGCTCCTCCCTCGTTTACTCACACAAACAGATTTTCTGGTGTGAAACTTGTTGATGGTCGTCTCACTGTGTTTTACATGAACYTCCTGGTACATCAGGGCAGCTACAGGGATGAAAGAATGGGGACCCCAGCAGGATAAATCCATTCRTGTAATGCACATTACTTTAGTACCAAAACAGATTTTTTTCCAACTGGGGTCTCCACTCTTTCCTCTCTGTAAGCTTGACTTGAAAGGCTTCTGTCAGACACTTATCGTGCTGTCTGTAGCTCACCTGCTTTTCTGCCTAAACATGCTCAGTTCTGACAAATCACACAATAGTTGACACATACCCCTGGAAGAAAAAAGTTCTGCCCAGCCCTTGTGCTGAGAAGAAATTGTTGAAGCTCATGAGAGAACAAAAAAATGTGATTTTTGTCTCACAATTACTTCAGCAAGAGCAGATTTCTTCACATATCTGTCCTCACAGAGACACCTTCCTGTCCTTTAGAAAAACATCTGCCTGTCCTCCAGAAGAAAAATCACAACTTTTTTATGTGTGAAATAAATCAGGATTTTCCTTGAAAATGTAGAAGTTACAGCAGCTATTTATAACAGAATGATGATAAATGTTCCTATTGTAAAAAAAAACTGCTCCTTTTCAAAGTTAGCTAAAATATGAATATTACCAAATGTCTTCTTTTGAATGTGTCAATGAACAACACTGGCAGCTAAGATATAGTGAAGAAATGCACTCATCAAGCAGCTGCAAACACCTGGATCACATAACTGTAGAAGAAACTTACAGTTGGGTCACTTCAGTTCCTGCTTCCCTCTCCAGTGTCTCATCACTGGCCTCCAGGTTAGCAGGGATTACCCTGTGCTGTAAAAGAGGGTTCACTCAACACACAACATACTTACTGTAGCATAATAATAAGATTACTGAGCATGCTGAACCTGTTGTTTCTGTTGTGTTCTTGTTAACTGTGTTGTATTTTTGTAAGAAATAACAAAGAACAAAAATAAGAATAAAGA